TTCAGTATGTAGTCTAAATATAAAAAATTTAAAATTTGTTTATTAAATTTTCGTTACTAACATACGTAACTGAAAAGTTTACTGGTATTTAGTAAAACATGTTTTATTATAAATTAATATGAGAACAATTCGCATTTAAATATATACATGTTATTAAAAACAAGTAAGAAACTATAGTTGCGCGTGGCCGACCATATGATAAGCTATGTCCGTGCGTCTGTCTGTGTGTACATGTAAACCTTGATCGCACTCTGCAGGTCGCAAAATTTGAGATAATTTGGAACGTGTACTTCTTTTGGTCCAAGGACGAACGCTGGTGAAAATGGCTGAACTCTGTCCATTATTTCACCTAGACCCTATACAGCCGAATCCCCCAAATAGGGCTTTTGACGTCATAATTACGCTCTACTATTTCTACAAAAATTAGCAAAACTTAGTTTTATATACATAAGTGTTAATAATTCTAGCGATATACGCGAAAATCGGGCATTATTTGACCCTAACCCCTATACAAAGTCCACTTCAGAAAATGGCTTGAATGACAAGAATCACGATAAAATTTGGAACAAATAAGTTTTGTATAAATATAAATCCCAACAATAAATTTTATAAGGATCGGCTAAGTTTTTCCCTAGCCCTCATATAACCGGACCATCCGATTTCGACCTTTTAGCTCATAACTACGTCAAATATAATACTATCTTTCCAAAAATAGACACAAACAAGTTAGAGTGCTATATTCGGCTATGCCGAATCTTAAATACCCTCCACCAGCAAACTACTTTTTATTGAAACCCATCTAACTATCTAATTTTTAGATAACTTGCCGAAATTTTTTTTGTGGAACTAATTTTGATTAGGTCCAGGAAAATGTATATTAATACGCCAGTTCGAAAACATTTTAATAGAATGATGTATCTATACACAGAATATGGGAGTTGTGGCCAATAATGGACTGATCAGGAAACAATTTCGTATAATGATCTATATGCAGACAAAGATCAGGTCTAATTTTACTCCAATAGCTTTATTAATCAATGAAATACGTGCGTTTAGGTGACTTTAGGAAGTGGACTTTATATAGGAGCTATGATCAATTAAGGGCCTATCCGGAAAAATTTCGCAGAAATTTCCAGAAAAAATTTGGTACAATGTTTTATATGCCTATCCGCAAAAAATTTCGTAGAGTGATTTATGTAAAGACAAAATACATTTGTGTCGAATTTTCTCAAATTAACTTTATTTGACAATGAAATATGTATGTTTAAGTGATTCTCAGATGTGGACCTTATATAGAAGCTATGACCAATAATGGACCGATCCGAGAAAAAAGTGGTAGAATGATTCATGTGTACACAAAACTTATTCAAGTCGAATTTTACCCCTATAGCTTTAGAATTCAATGAAATATATGTGTTTAAGTGCTTTTCGGAAGTGGACCTTATATGGGAACTATGACCAATTATGGGCCTATTCGGGAAACATTTCGCAGAGTGATTCATATTTGGACAAAACATGTTTGTGTCGAATTTTATCAAGATAGCTTTATTTGATAATGAAATATGTGCTTTTAAGTGAAAATCGTAAGTGGACCTTATATGGGAGTTATGACCAATAATGGACCGACAGGTAAAAAATTTATAAAATGATTTGTACGTACACAAAACATATTCAAGTCGAATATTATCCCAATAGCTTTAGAATTCAATGAAATATATGCGTATAAGTGATTTTCGGAAGTGGACCTTATATGGGAGCTATGACCAATTATAGGCCTATCCGCAAACAATTTCGTAGAGTTATTCATGTTTATGCAAAACATATTTGTGTCGAATTTTGTCAATATAGCTTTACTTGGCATTGAAATATGTGCTTTTAAGTGATTTTCGGAAGTGGGCCTTATATGGGATCTATGACCAATTATGGACCGATCCGTAAAAAATTTTGTAGAATGATTTGTATTTCGACTAAACATATGTGTCGAATTTCATCAAAATAGCTTTAGTTGACAATGAAATATGAGCTTTTAACTGATTTTCGGAAGTAGGCTTTATATGGGAGCTATGACCAATAATGGACCGATCCGGAAAAAATTTGGTAGAATGATTTGTATGTACACAAAACATATCCAACTCGAATTTTATCACAATAGCTTTATTCATCAATGAAATGTGTGCGTTTAGGTGATTTTCGGAATAGGACCTTATATGGGAGCTAAGACCAATTGTGGACCGACTGAGATCTACGTCGACAGTATGATTTCTGTTCATATTATATTTACATGTACAAAATTTCGTGTTGATACCGATATATTTGAGGGAGTTATTAACGATAAACTAATTTCCGGGAATATATACCTTTGTATGGGGGCTATGGGAAATATTGGATCGATTGTAAAGATTTTGAACATAATTGATCACCACCCTGAAAAAATAATGTATGACAAAATTCATCGAAATATCTTTGGTAGTTTCTGAGAAAACTTCAAAAGAATTATGAAAAAAACGTAATTTTTTTCGAGGTAGTCTGAAATTTTTACTCATAACTTTTTACGTTGTGAACCGATTTTGCTGATTTTCAATACCAAACTGCTTAGGATAATAACAAATATTTTGGGTGAATTTGGTTTATTTCCTTTGCTTAGTTTTAACGTGAGCGTGTTTTACACAGACAGACAGACAGACAGACAGACAGACAGACAGACAGACGGACAGACGGACAGACGGACATAGCTAAATCGACTCAGAATTTGATAAGGACCCAGAATATATATACTTTGTTGGGTCTTAGATGAATATTTCTTGGTGTTACACACGGAACGACAAACTTATATATACCCTCTATCACCACTGATGGTGGTGGAGGGTATAAAAAACATTGATATAATTCTTAATAACCGTCAATTTTAGTAATGATCGGCCTTCATTTGACCTTAGTCCCCATACAAAGTCCACTTCAGGAAATGATTTGACCGTCCACAATTCACTTATAAACACTAGCATCACGATGAAATTTGGCACAAATAAGTTAAATATAAACATAAATCCCGACATTAAATTTTGTAAGGATGGGGACAATTTTTGTCTAGCCCGCATACAACCGGACCTTCCGATTTGGGCCTTTTAGCTCATAACTGCGACAAATATACTACTATCTTTCAAAAATCAGTATAATTAAGTTTGATATAATTATAAATAACACTGTCGATTTTCGTAATGATCGGGCTTCATTTGACCCTAGCCCCTATACAAAGTCCCCTTCTGAAAATGACTTGAATGCCCATAACTTACCTGTAAACACGAATATCAAGATGAAATCTTGAAATGAACAAATAAGTTTTATATAAACATAATTCGCCACAAAAAATTTTATAAAGATCGGAAAAATTGTTGCCTAGCTCGCATACAACCGGACCTTTCGATTTGGGCCTTTTATCTTTTAATTACGTCTAATATACTACTATCTATCCAAAAATCAGCTTAATTAAGTTTGATATAATTATAATAACACTGTCCATTTTCGTAATGATCGGGCCTCATTTGACCCTAGCCCCTATATAAAGTCCTCTTCAGAATGTCCACGATGAAATTTGGATCAAATAAGTTTTATATAAACATAATTCCGATCAATAACTTTTATAAGGATCGGCTCAATTTCTGCCCCATACAACAGGACCTTTCGATTTGAGCCTTTTATCTCTTAACTTAATCGGCACAATGTGGCGATGTTTGTAACACTCAAAAATATTCGTATTTAAGTATATCAGTCGGGTCAGAATCACTTTCTGATTCGATTAAACTATGTTTGTCTTTGTGACGGACATCAAATAATCTTTAAAATTGCGACCTGTAGGGTGAGCGCAATGTTTACATGGACACACAGACAGACGGACGGACGGATGTTACGTGGTCTTCCCGATCATATGAAACATTAATTTTTTGATTTATGTATATAAATATAAATATATATATATATTTTTTTTTTTTTATTCCATATATTTATAAATAAGTAATTTGGAAGTTAGTGACTTTCATAACCAATGTGTATACATAGATTCTTAGGAAATTAAAAGACTGAAAATCAAGTGGAATAATTTATAGACCTTAATTAGATTTATTAATCTTATATGTTAAATGAGCATTAAAGTCCACTATGTACACTGCCAAGTATTACGCTTAAATATACTTCATTGCTTTTACTAACATTCAATTTTCCACCTGTAATTTGATTATAAATAATTAAGTCTATTTAAGCTTAAAACTTTGTTTATTCTTACCTACACAGTGACACCAAAAAAGATAGTAGCCATAACGTAAAAACGAGAGACAGTAGACTAAAAACATTATAATAAGTTTTTGGTAAAACATAAATAAGCTTAACTTTAATAATTTAGATTTTTGTTAATATTAACAATAAATAAGCACATAAAAGATGTCCAAAAAAATATTGATTTTCTTTAGATAGGTCTTTTTGTTGATAGTTTGTGTCTAGAACTTATTAGTGTAACTCAATTAAAAGTTATAAATTTGGTAATTTTCTGATAGCTTCCAAAAATTCAAGCACACCTATCAAAAATTTGATTTTTACAAGACGTGATGTTCTAAACTAAAAACTTCAAAGATATATTATGTTTGTGTAAATAAATATACATATATTCAAAGAATATCAATCTGTCGATTTTTTACAGGTCAAGTAATTTTTATCAAATATTTCATAGGTGTGAACGTTGCATCTTAATAAACATCATAATACCCATAAAAAACTGATTTGTATATTTTGTTAATGTAGACATAGCGTATACGTAACATTTCTATGTATTGTATATATTTAAAACGTATACGTACAGTGAGTTAATTTAAGTATATTCAACACTTAAAAGGAAATTAATGTTTTAGCATATTTTTCATGTACATTATTTTACTTTCTCTACTTTTATATCAAGAAGATATTGTACTTTTATATCAAAACTATGATATTGCACATTTCGTTATGTTTCCTACCTTTTTATTAACAACTCCATCTAAATCTAAAAATATACAAAAGAAAATAATGATTTAGTTAGTAAAAGTAATTATAAGAATCATTATTTATAATGAAAATAAATAATGTACGAGATATATAGGACACATGTGTGAATTTTCTGTTAAAAAATTCTAAAAATATTACAAGTTATAATAAGTATAAAGCTGATAATTTTATTGTCTTTAAGTTATTAATTTGAAAAATAAATAAACAGGAGCAAGTGTAATAGTGTCTATGGACATTGTGATACACCAAATCATCACGAAATTAGGCTTTTTTCATATTCGGACCCTTTGTAACACATGACTTTTATGTCACTAATTTCGTGGACATTGAGACACTAAATCAATTTAGGAAACTTTCATAGGATATGCAATATACATCAGAGTTAGAAGCAAATTTATCCGGCGACAAAGTGCTGCCTTCTTTAATTCTAAACAATTATTCTAATACATTTCAGTTTTAAAGGATTCACGATTTAAATAAATATATTTATTAAAGCCCGGATAACATCGGGTATATAAGCTAGTATAAAATATAATTCTCTATGTACGTTAAACACAATGGCGCCTTCTAACCTTTCATGTTTTTATATATTTGCTGCTGTTGTTTTTATACCCACCATCAAAAAAGATGGGGGGTATATTGTTTTTGTCATTCCGTTTATAACACATCGAAATATTGAACACAGACCCACAAAAGTGTATATATTCTGGGTCCTTATTTAATTCTAAGACAATCTAGCCATGTCCGTCAGTCTGTCCGTCTGTCTGTTGAAAGCACGATAGAGTCCAAACGAGAATAGCTAAGGAGCTGAAATTTTGTATAAATATTTTTTATTAATGCAGTTTGTTTGTTATTGAAAATGGATCATATCGATCCATGTTTTTGCATAAACCCCATACAAGTGGCCCCCGAAAAAACAGTGTAAACAGTCATAGATTGTTTAAAAACATAAGTATGTCAATGAAATTCTACATAAACCAGTTTTATATAAGCCAAAATCTTCATACAAAATTTTACGAGAATCGGTTCATAATTGACCCTACCTCCCATATAAGGTTCCTCTCAGAAAACGACTTTACGGCCATAACTTGCTTCAAAATTATAGCAATGCAACTAAATTCAACATATACAAGTTTTAGGGGAACCTAAATACCTCTGCTACATTTTTTGGAAATCGGCCCATAATTGACCCTACCCCCCATGTAAGCTCCCCTTCAGAAAATGACTTTAGCTCTTATAACTTGCTTCAAAATGATAGTTAAGCAACGAAATTCAACGTAAAGCAATAAAAGTTTTTGGGGAACTAAAATATCTTCCCTATATTTTATGGAGATCGGCTCATATTGACCCTTGAACTTTGAACTTTGTTCAAAATCCCAGTAAATTCCAATGAACGTCAACATAAATAAGTTTTAGAGGAACTAAAATATCTCTGCCAAATTATATGAAGATCGGTTCATAATTTACCTACCCCCGATATAAGTTCCAATCATAACATAACGCTCATAACTTGCTGCAAAATTATAGTAAAGCAACGAAATTCGACGTAAACAAGTTTACGGAGAACTAAAACCTCTCTGCCAAATTTTATGGAGTTCGGCCCATAATTAACCTTACCCCCATATGAGATTCCTCTCAGAAAATTACTTTAAAGTTCATAATTTGCTTTAAAATTTCAGTATATCAACGAAATTGACATTACCATGTTTTATGGAAACCACAAAATTCAGCAACGAAATTCGACATAAACAACTTCTTCAAAATTATAGTAAAGCAATAAAATTCGACATAAACAAGTTTTATAGGAACATTGTTTTAACTGTTTTTTGAGGATCGGTCCATGATTGACTTTATCATCCAAACGGCCTTTCTCATAGAATGACATTAACGGCCATAACTGGCTTAAAAATACCAGTATATCGATAAAATTGGTCATGAACTAGTTTCATAGGATCTAAAATATTTCTGTCAAATATTATGAGCATTGGGCCATATTGTATCAAATCCTTCATATAAGGCTTAGAAAGCATTGGTAATTGACATAACAAGTTTTACTGAAACCAAAATCTTTATAAAATCTTCGGAGGATTGGTCCAAAACTGATCATAAGCATTAAATATGATAAATAAATACTACCATCACCCTGACTATATTACTATTTATCTAGTAAAAACTTTCATTACCATGTAAGGGGTTAAAATGCTAAAATTTACTTACGCAATAGCATTTAAAGTCATTATTTTAACACGGTGATGTCATTGCAGGCAAGTACTTACCACAAACGGTTACAAGTAATTAGAAAAAGTGGTCATTTTAAATCGCATGGAAAAACATATACAGCATCTATATCTTCACTGTCTAGATGACTAATGAATTAGAAAGTATTTATATAACACATTATTAGTAAGACCTTATTATACTACTTCTATGTAAACCAGACGATATGTAGTAGTCATTGAAAAGTATGTTGTTAGGTAAGTAATTACAATTGAAAGCCATTACCTAGTTTTTGTTGATAAATCAGTTCAGAAAAAAATCCAAATTTAAACATTAATTGTAGTAGCAAAAACATCTCTTTATACAGTATAGGTAGGTCCATTTGCCGAAATTTACTTGAAATTTTAGACACATGATTTTATGGTGGATATATAAGATTCGGCACAGCCGAATATAGCACTCTTACTTATTCGTTTTGTTATTATTTTTGAAGACTCTTCTATCCATCCTTTTGAATGTCATGAATGACAGAGAGTCAAATAACTACACTTTGTTTATTAGTCATGAAATTTCGTACGTCTGTTCTCACTGCCACATTTTAAGCAAAGTCATCTTAACACGCACGTAAATGTTTTCTCATCCGTAAAATCCTTAGAACACTTTTCACTTTATTTTCGTAAGAAATTCATAATCATGAATGAAAACTAAGTATGTATGTGTTACCAGTACGTCAGCACTTGTTTGGTTGTTTTATCCTATTTCTATATAATTTTCTTTTCACAAATTTACAATAATATTTGTTTTTAGAATAAAGCCCGACAGAAAAAAGACATTTATGAATTGTGAGTTGTTGCAAAAAAAAGGGGTCAATAGAGAGTATAAAATACATTTAAGGTTTTGCTTTATTAAATGTGGCAACAATTTTCATTTGGTCCCAGTGCAAATAGTGCTATAAACTTTATCATTTGATTTAGGACTTTATTTACTTTAAACGACTCCTAAATTTATATATATGTGTTTTGGCATGACAGAGAGAGAGAGATAATTTTATGGTAGCCCAAGATTAAAAGTCAACATAAGTAATTTGAAACAACTACAAAATTTTAAGGTTTTACCAAAACTATATGTATATAAGTATGTCTGTATATAGAGAATTATGTTTATTATTTATAACAGTTGTTGTTGTTGTTGGTCACAATGAAAGTGTTGTGTAACATTTTATTGCCTACATTGTCCATTCCTATGGTCGGTATTGTTGGTTAGTTTCAATGGCTCTTGTTATGAATTTTTAAGTGTTCTAGTAAATGTGCTTCGGGTAATCAATTTAATGATGATTAAGTGATATTAATTAACTTGTATTCCTGCAAAAGCGACAAAGGACATCAAGAGAGTTGTCATAAAAATTAAATGTCTTAAATAAATTTATGAAAATACGTACATACAACAAAATGCTAATAAATTTTGTATGACTTATTTTTCGGGGAAACAGGGGAACAGGAAATTAAAATAATTTACCCTTTTTTTAATATCTTCTAATAATTAAAAATTTTAATTTTTCTTTTAGGCAAATTTGCATATTTTTGAAATTGTTGTATACATATGTGACCCTTTTCCATTTTATTATGGCTATTAAAAGTACAAAACTGCCCCTAGCATTGTTAATTGTTGTTTTAAATTAAAGTTATTAAAAAGTTTTTTTATTGTTATTTTAGGGTGTGTTTTGAAATGTTTTTTTATGCAATACATAATAAAATTTAATATAAAGATCATAGTTTATTCGGGTTTTATATTTATTAATTTTCACCAATAATAATAAAATCTTGTTTTAATTTAAATACATTAATAAATAAAATTTTTACACACATTAGCTACATACAAAATAAATGTTGTCTAGTAAATTTTGCCCAGTACTTTGAAATCCATTTTGTCAGATATTTAAAATATATGGGTACTATTATAGGGGTTTCCATAATCAATAGATCAAAAGTAGATTAAAGCAGGAATGTATTGAGTACTCTTAACCCGGATAGAGTTGCTCTCAACATTGGTAAATCTTGCATTTTGTATTCATTCAAAAAGTGTCTGTGATAGACAGGGTTGATGGGTATTAAAATCTGGGATACTTAGAACACCAGCTTTGCTAGTGTTTCTTGATATATGGATTATATGTAGCCTTATGTCACTATTCTCTTGGACAGTACGACACATTTTTGAGTGTCTTATATCAGTGGACACTATGATATTTTCTATACCCACCATCAAAGAAGATGAGGGGTATATTGATTTTTGTCTTTCCGTGTATAACATATCGAAATATTGCTCATAGACCCCATATATTCTAGGCCCTCGTAAGATTTTAAAACGATCTAGCTATGCCCTACTGTACGTTAGTCTCTTGTTGGCAGAATAGCGTCCACAAAATATAGAATGATGAAATTTTCCCTAAATATTCTTTATTGCTTAGAACATATTGGTATTGAAAATGGACAATATCGGTCTACTATTTCACATAGCCCCCAAACAAATGATCCCCAAGAATATTGTGTAAAAAGTTTCAAAGAGTCATAAATTGGTTGATTATATAACAATCACAAATCAGTTTTTTTTCAGAAATTAAATTCTGAATTATGGCAGACATTGGACCATAGTTGACCCTACCTTCATATAAGGTTCCCTTCAAAAAAAGATTATGCTAATTTCTGGCTTAAATATAGCTGTACAGCAAATAATTTATCACGAACAAGTTTTATTGGAACCGAAATCTTTGTTACAAATTTTAAG